ATTTGATAGCCAACTTTGAGGTTTTCCAAACACATTTCAAGTTGGAGAACGACAAACTCACAGTTGATGAAGAAGACGTTGAGTACACTCTTGGCATTCCAAGAGGAGAAAAGAAGGTTGTTGAGGCCCCAAAATATGATGAACAGGGGACACCGGAATACAGGGCTCTCTTGAAAAGCTGGAGGGAAAGGTGGAATATTAAGCTTGGTTCCCCAATCACTACCCAGATGGGAGATGTCATAGTTCAAAGGGGAGATTCTGGAGATGACTTTAAGAGAGACTTCATGGTCTTGACTGTTTCGTGCATGATGAGGGGATTTCAGACACGCTACTGCAACAACAGAATCCTCAACTCCTTGATTAATGTTGATGAGATAAAGGAGTACAACTGGTGTGGCTACACCTACAACTCTCTGATCAAGTCCATCGAGCAGTACAGGAAGAAAAGTAATAGCTTCTTTACTGGACCAATGACATTCATATTGGTAAGGTCTAGCTCCACTTATGAATCTTATGATATTCAGATTGTAAATTATATGTGTTAGATTATGAATTTTCTTCTATGTGATTATGAATTTTTCTCTATGTGATTAAGAATTTTCCTCTATATAATTATGAATTTTCCTTTATGTCATTATGCATCTTCCTCTATGTGATTATGAATTTAGAGTATGTACTTATGAATCTTATGTTGTTTAGATTTTATGAGAATTATATGTGTCATATTATGAATTTTCCTTTATGTGGTTATGAATTTTCCTTTATGTGCTTATGAATTTTCCTGTATGTGATTATGAATTTACAGTATGTACTTATGAATTTTATGCTATTTAGATTTTGTGAGAATTGTATTTGTCAAGTTATGAATTTTCCTTTATTTGATTATGAATGTTCCTTTATGTAATTATGAATTTTCCTTGTTGTCATTATGAATGTTCTTTTAATATTATGCAATAATGAATCTCATAATAGAAAGTTCATAATTGCATAACATAAAATCCATAATACGATAGTTGAATATAATGTTCATATGGATTATGAATTTTCTATTATGATATTATGAATTTTCTGTAGTGTAATTATGAATTTTGTGATTATAACTTTTTTATTTTACCTTTTTCTTCAACATTGTAGCTATTCTACTTTGATCGGGTCCAATTCAAAGGAATGAGCGTTCAAAGAACATATCCAAGCATTACTGCATGGACAAATAAACTTGCACGGCAAAGGGTTTCCGCTGAGAAAAGGTCGGGCGGATATGGTAAAGGGAAAGTTATCCCTCGTATTGCAAAGCCTACTGCTGATTGTATCGCTTCTACTTCCGCCCAACCAGTCCCAACCATCTCTGTGCCGCCATCTAGTGTTGATAGGGTCACACGGGTTCTACAACGCCTTGCTGCTGATGTCTTGGAATTCGGTGAGGCTATGGCTGAAGTTGGCAAACAAAACGCCCCAGTGGATGTTATGAAGGCTGCATTTTCTGGGATTTCCACCATGATTGGCGTTGCAAGCACGATAGAAAGACCACCATCTCCAACCTCCTCTCAACTTGACGACATCTTCTTTGGCCAAGAGTCTTTCACAAAGGCTGTTGATGCCTTGGTTGAAGCCTTCCAAAAAACCAATCGGCAAATGGAGATTGACCCTCCCTCATTTGATTTAGGGATTTCTTATACCCCGGCACCATTGGTTGATGAACCACGTGAGCAAAGTGCAATGGATGACGATGAATTGGATGCCCTTGTTGAGAACATTGTGAAAGACACTCCTGGTGCTGCTGGTGCTGCTGATGCTGCTACACTCTCTACTACTCCTACCGCTATCCCTGCTACAACCCCTGCTGCTACGCATGGTGCTACGGCTGTTTCTTCCCCTGCTGCTTTCCCTGCTCCTACACATGTTCCTACCACTGCTGCTACCCCTACTGCTTCATCTTCTGAAACATATACTGCTACCCCTGCTACATCAAGTTCTGAAAGACGAGAAATAACTCCATTGATCAAGGTTCCATTCGCCAGAGATGTCCCTGATGCTGCTAATACTTCTACGCCTGCTGCTACACTACCTGCTACCCTCGACGATATTGATAGGTAAACTAATTAGAATATGAAATTGTGTTATGAACTTTCTGATATTATATTATGACTTTTCTTCTGAAATATTATTAATTTTCACATATGAGATTATGAGTTTTCTATTATGAGTATTAAATTACAGTTTTGATATTATGAACTTTCTGATATGCAATTATGTATTTTCTGTTCTGTATTTATGAATTTTCTGTACTGCAGTTATGAACTTTCTGACCTGAAATTGTGCAACTATGATGATATTAACTAGCTTCGTGTGTTTACAGTGCATTTCTGGACAGTGAATCTGATGTCGAGGATGTCACCAAGCGAAAGAGACCAGTCCGGAAATACAAAAACATCCCGTTAAACTTGAGGTCACCTTTTTGGACAAAGAATGTGCCATTTGACCATAATGCCAGTGTGACCGAGAGGGCCGTATCAAACTACGCCTTCATGGATGCTTCTACGGATCATCCAGTGGAGTATGTTTGACTCTAACCATTTAGAAAACTTTTTATTTTCATGAATATTTCACATTTATAACCATATGTTAATTTATTTACCTATTTATCAAAATTTTTTGTTCATGTAGTGAAACTCTGTTTATCTTTGATGATTTCTCAATGACAAGAGGAGATTTCCACACCCTCCGCAGCGGTGAAATTTTTAACACATTCATAGATGTATGGGCGTTGAGGCTTACACTCCTCAACACAAAACGGGCGTTGGGGAAGCCAAAGTGCATCTATTTTAGCACGTTGGTACATGTAAGTTAATAACAACAATTTTTACTCTGCTCACTTCTGAATTTCATGTTAAACCATTCTGTATTTTATGTCATGTAAATATGTATTTTCTGTTTGTGATTATGAATTTTCTATTGTGAGTTTATAAAGATACATTTTTGATATTATGAACTTTCTGATGTGAGATTATGTATTTTCTGTGTGAGATTATGAATTTTCCCATATGGCATTATGAATTTTCTATTTGTGAGTTATGAAATTACAACTTTGATATTATGCATTTTCTGTTCTGTGGTTATGTATTTTCTTTGTAATATTATGGATTTTAAGTATTTTCTGTGTGTGATTATGAATTTTCTCATATCATATTATGAATTTTCTATTGTGAGTTTATGAAGTTACATTTTTGATATTATGAACTTTCTAATGTGAGATTATGAATTTTCCCATATGGCATTATGAATTTTCTATTGTGAGTTATGAAATTACAACTTTGATATTATGAATTTTCTGTTTTGTTGTTATGTATTTTCTTTGTAATATTATGGATTTTATGTTATGATATCATGAATTACGTATGACTGCCATTACATATTGCACAACTTATCATTGATACGTATTTTTTTCCCCTTAGCTTCAACTCGACCCATCTGAACAGTGGATGAAGAATCTTCCGCTTCAAAAGCGGAAGGATAATTTCAATGAGCGATCACAGTATGAGATTTCAAAATTTGAAAATCTTGATGTCAATGATGCTGATTTGGTAATTTATAATTACCCACCTTCAACATTTATTCATTAATTACATATTTCTTCTCTATTCTAACTACTTCTTCTTTTGATGTTAGCTATTTTTCCCCGTGCTTCGACACGAACACTACTTTGTTGTCTGCATCAACACCATCTCAAAAAGTGTTGAAATCATTGACAACAAGATGTTGCCTAAGGGTGTTACTGAAGCTGACAAGTATGAAGATTGCCCAAATCTACTGGTAACTTAACCTTAAACTTGACCTTTCAAACGTTTGTTATACATTTCATGTGAATCATTATCACACTAGTTTCATTTTTGTCCAGATGAATGCTTTGAAAGAGTACTTGACTGCAGAAAAATCCCCCCTACTCCGTAAGATACAAAACCTTCCTGTATCATACTTGGCCATTCCTTGGAAGGAGCTTGACAATGTCATTGATTGTGGCATATATGTCATGCGACACATGGAGTCCTACAAGGGGAATGTTCAAGATTGGGACAGTGGATTCAAGATAGGCACCCATGTAAATGTAAGAGTATAAGATATATTAATTTCAACTTAGATTTGTTTTTTTTTTTTTTGTTTTTTAACATCTTTTTTTTTTTTGAAGGCTGACTTCATTTGGGAGCTTAGAGCTAAATACGCATCAAACATTATCACATGGGGTAGGAACACTGAAAGATTGCGAGTTATGAAGGCAGCCAAGGATCTTTCAAAAAAGAAATGAAACTATACCGCTTTTTGGTGTTTGAATATGTTGTGAACATGAAGCAAATCTTGACTGTTGGTACCCTAGATTGTGAATCTCTCATTTTGTAATGTGCACAGATATTTTGCACCTATGAATATACAATCTATTGCTCTTAATTCAGATTACATGTGGATCATGTAGAGTTTATGAATTTTCAACTACCATATTATGAATTTTCTATTATGCAACTATGAACTTTCTTTTATGAGATTATGAATGTATACGTGTTAGCTATAACTGAAATTCATTATTACATAACATTAAAATAACATTCATAATGACAACAAAGAAAATTCATAATCACATAAAGTAACATTCATAATCAAATAAAGGAAAATTCATAATCTGAGACATAATTCTCATAAAATCTTAATAGCATAAAATTCATAAGCACATACTCTAAATTCATAATCACATATAGGAAAATTCATAATCACATAAAGGAAAATTCATAATCAGATAAAGGAAGATTCATAATCTGAGACATAAAATTCATAAGAACATACTGTAAATTCATAATCACATAGAGGAAAATTCATAAACTGGTAAAGGAAAGTTCATAAACTGGTAAATGAAAGTTCATAAACTGGTAAAGGAAAATTCATAATTTGACACATAATTCTCATCCTATATCTAAAAATCATAAAATTCATAAGTACATACTGTTAACACGATCTCAATCTATAGCTACATCGTGGTCTACATTCTTATTAAAATGAACAAATTGTGAACCCCCGGTGCTTGGATGTACAAGATATCCATCACGAGCAATCTCTGAAATATTTTCCAAGACCAATGATTGGACAGAGCCCTTTGTAATTGAAGCAAGCTTGTTTGCAGCACTCTTTCTTCCCCTTGCTGCATTGTACTTCTTCTCAATAACACTACTACTCCTTTTATTTCTCACACCTTTACCCCTCCGGCTTGAGGGGTCTTGGACAATACCACTTGACGAAGACACAGCACCCTCCTCAGTGTTCACATCCCCAATCTCAGCTTCAATGTTTTTCCTTGCATTCTCAACGGCTTCATCACAGAATTGTCTAGCAACACTGTTGTCTTGGCTAGAAACAATAAGCCTTTGAAATTTCCTACTAATCTCAACAGCCCAAATTGAAGAAGGGACACCACCATTATAAAACACAGATGCAATGTCCACGTTTCTACCCTCAACAACCTTTTTAGTCCATCTTTTTAGAATGTATTTATCGGGAATACTGGAAACACAGTGCACATGAAGTATACGTAAGCAGTGACAGCAAAGTATTCCCAATTCTGAAAACAGCTTGCAACTACAGCATATATCCAAATTGATTGCCTTAAAGGTTACTTCATGCCTTATGATATCTATGTCTGGTCGCCACACGTGATACTTGCACTTACAACCATCGTTCAACACCATTTCTTGATAACAAGAGCTACCTTTCATAAATTGTTCCTCGAACAAAAAATAAATCTCAATTGTATAAACCTCTCTAGCATGTGAAAGGAGTTTCACATGATCCATCATCATGGCGGGTACTCCTTGAGAACACCGGAAATCCTCGCCATTTTCCTTACTTCTCCATTCAGATATAACACTCACAAAGGATGAATAAAAATCACATAAACCAGCAGTCTTGGACAGCCTCCTAGAAATTGCATGATTTGTGCTTTCACTCCTTTGCGAAGATAAAATACCCCCGGAGAAATAATCCTTGTTGAACGCTGGACACCACTTCTCCCTACAGTCATAAAGCTTCTCTAGCCATGTATTCTTATGACAACTATATTTTGTAACCATCCTGAAAAGGTTAAAACACATGTTTATTACTCATATTCTGAAAATTCATAATCTCATATTAGAAAGTTCATAATCATATAACAGAAAATACATAATGACATAACAGAAAATACATAATTGTATACTGTGAATTCATTATCTCATATTACAAAGTTCATAATCATATAACACAAAATACATAATGACATAACAGAAAATACATAATGACATAACATAAAATCCAGAATTGTATAACTGTGAATTCATAATCTCATATTAAAAAATTCATAAATCATATAACAGAAAATACATAATGACATAACAGAAAATCCATAATGACATAACAGAAAATTCAGAATTATATAATGTAAATTCATAATAACATACCTTGTCCAGTAAACCTCAAATTCAGCTTCAGTCTCGGTGTATTTCAACACACAATTGAACATATCCAGAAAATCCTTATGATTCCTCAATGCCTTGATATGCTTCTTCGAATTCTCCACCAATATGCCATATGCAAAGACGGTGGCGTGATGTAGGAAACACCATGGAAATGCCAGCAGCCATAGCTGAACATTGATCCGTCATGATAGTCTGTGGACACTTGCCATCCATGGATCTTAAAAACACTCTAAACAACCACGCAAATGACTCTATCCTCTCATTCATCAAAAAACCACAACCAAACATTACATTCATGCAATGATGGTTCATCCCTACAAAAGGACCACAAATCATATCATATTTGTTAGTGCGGTATGTTGTATCATGCACTAACAGATCACCAAACACCTCATAATCCCTTCTCATTTGACCATCCCTCCAAAAAAAACTACACAATCTTCCATCCAAATCAACTTCGAAATCAAAAAAGAAATCAGCCTCATTAGATTGCCTCCTCCTGAATATCTCAATCAAAGAATTGGAATCAGATCCATCCAAACACTTCAAACTCACAGAAGCCATCGAATTGTAAGCATCGCGGTTGGTAAAGCCAACCAATGGAGAACCCCCTGACTGATGTTTCAAAAACCTCATACCATCCGCCAATGCAACACCACTACTCTTCATGTCTTTTAAATATTCAAGCTGATTGTTTCCCACTCTTCTATGCGACCGAAGCAGATGACTCTTGCCAAATGAACATAACTCGTGATTGTGCTCTTTCAAGTGTTTTGTAACTGTCCACATCCCATCACCCCCCACATCAAATTGAACAAATGCACCACATCCAGTCCTCATATCAATCTTTGAATAAAGCTTAACACCACTGTTTGGTTTCTGCTTATACCCAGCCTTAGCACAGAAGAACCTCTTCATCTGAATTGACTTAGTAGATGCCTTATAACGTTGTTGGCCTTTCCTCACACTAAAACCAACTCTGTATGCATATCCATTATATAACTCAAAAGCTTCGTCAACATTTCTTACTACAACACCCACCAAGTCTTCATCAACTGCAATTGCAACAAAAATATAACCACACCTATACCAACTACTAAAATATGAATGTGGATTTCACCTATAATGAATATAATATGCTACACTATAGAATTCATAATCTCATGTGAGAACATTCATAATCACAAAGAATAAAATTCATAACATCATATAAGAAAGTTCATAACAAAGACCGGGTATCAATAACATTTGTGACATTATGAGCATTCAAAGTTGCATAGATACTCATGGCATGAAATGCATAAACTCATAACATAAAATTCATAACCTCATATGGAAAATTCATAATCTCATATAGAAAATTCATAATAACATAACGGAAAATTCATAACCTCAAAACTGTAAATTCATAACGTGAACAAATTATTAATACCAATCACAACATTCAATTTGCATATAATCACCATGAATCAGTACCTACACCTACCAGAAACAACATTCATGATACACCAACTAATAAAAAGAACCTGGACTTGAAGACGAGCCATCAATGTCAATGTTTAACTCTGCTTGATCATTGCTTATTGAATCACCAACACAATCTTCATTCACTGAGTATATGCAAGCAGTGTAACATACCAGTTAATATGTTATGGACATAGTACTATTACATTATGAATATTCATATCACATGCATGAACAGAGTATCAAAATTCATAACTCTGTAACAGAAAATACATAATTGCATTATGTAAAATTCATAACAGAAACATGGAACTAATACACATTTACGGCCATTATGAACATTCAAACTGCATAGATACTGAACAAATACCAATAAAAATAACTAAATCTTCAACAATCCATGATCTCATAAATCAAACGAAATCAAACGCATAAAATCGAACGCAACCTGGAATCGCAGAAATCATATCGGTTGAATCTTCTCCTCGAACCGTCGTCTCCTCCATCGCGAATAGGAAAGAATCGCGAATGTCGGATCACAATTGCCTTCAGAGATTTGCGAATAGGAAAGAATCAAACGCAAAGAGTTGTCTGATCATAACTGCCTTCCTAACGCCGTTAATAGAACAATGTTTTTTTTTTTTTTTTTTTTTTAAAAACGACGCCAAAAACGACGTCGTTTGGAAGCGTGTTCACCAAGCATGGTGAGCACGTTTCCACGGCATAATTTACGAACCAACCCGCTTGACGTCATCCTTTCCCCTGGTGGTGAAGAGTTAACAGTGAACAAGCCTAAATTTTTGTGTGCAGTCCCATGAGTTGACGTATCCCACCAACTTGTAAAATTAACATAACCAATCATATAGTCGATTGAAAGAAAAAACAAAATTCAATGAGTGACTTGCATTACTCTTCTCAAAACATCCTTTCCCCTGGTGGTGAATAATTAACAGTGATAAAAAAAAAATAAAAATAAAAAAAATGACACCAGAAACTGAGACGTGTGTGTTTACTTACAAAATAAATTCTCTACCAAGTACCAAACACAAGCAAATTTCCTTAAACAATACAATATTATATTGTGCAAAACTTGCAAGTGAAAATTTCTCTCATTTTAAAAATGCTTCTTCTCTTTGATATGTTAAAGGTTTGAAAACACTCAAATGATCTGCTACAAAATGTAAGCAGAAACTCATTTTCATCGATCTTTAACAAAATCAAATCCTCAAATTTTTATGCTGTTTGAACACATTACATGTTGTGAATGAAGCATATAAGTTATAAGCTAATTATCAAACGCCCTTATAATTGATTTTTTTTGGGTGTACCCAAGGTTAGTTGGTTTGACCACTGATAGTATTAGTTGGTTGTAGAAATATATTTTGGTAAAGTAGTTATTTACTATTAGCTGATTGCATATAAAATGATTTTTAAGAGAATGAGTGTATTGTGTTATTTTAAGTTGTAAATATATTAGTAGGTATGAACTCTTAATCCTGATAAATGATTATACAATTTAAGTCACCAATTATACTTTTTCGAAGAACATAAGTGCAATTTAAGAGAATGAGTGTATTAGTTTTTTTCATTTTTGAATGAAATTGACTATGTTACAATGTAGAGCCAATAGTCCGCCTCCAATGAAGCTCGAACCCACAACCTCCCACATGGGGGAACAATTTGGTGCTGGTGGACCACAAAGTCCTTGGCTTATTATTATTACTAGTTTTTTTACGCGCTTTGCGCGAATGAGATAATGGCCAATGATTATTTTTAAATAAGTATTTCAAAGTATATCAATGCAATATTATATAGGAAATGTTCATGCATAAGTAAATAAATATTGTATTTGTGTATTTAACTCGGTAATTTAAAGTATATAAATGCAAGATAATATATGACATAATAATTATAATTGTCACTAAAATAAATGTTCAACTTTGTAATAACGCTAGTCTAAAATACTTAATTAGTCTAAATGCGATAGTCTAAATAAATACAACGTTTGGTTTAAATTTCTCTAATTCTTCTTAAATCTCTTTTGGTTGGTATTGTCATTGTCTTCATCTTCAGTACATGTCCCCTCTTTTTTTTTTTTTTTTTTTTTTTTATTGGTAGTGTGTCATGTGCAATTGGATTACTGGTGGTAGCATAAAGGGATTCATCGTGCAATGAGATTGTGGGGTAGGAAGCTTTCGATTTGCCTTGTTGTGTATATAATTGGGATCTTAGTTGTGCTATAAACTCTTTATCTTACAAGCACCTATTGATATTTGGTAGTGGTAGTTTTTTCCCTACATGTTTCATGCATTGTGAGATGTGTGTCGTAGGTTTCATGTTAAAGTATTGAACAGAATATTAATATTTATTATATTTGTATAAAATACTTGGTAAATGAATATATATAACATATATTGTATTATATTATAACTTTGATACGGAGTATTTAATTACAAGATAATGTAAAAACAAGACAATGGACAATGTTGTGAATATAATAAATTAATAAATTTGAAGATAATGAATCTTTGAATCGTAGAAAATAAAGATAATATAACTAATGCAATTATATCAATTTTTAAATTTTTTTATAATAAATAATTTTTTTTTTAAATAAAGGCATTATAGACATCTAATTCTAAATTAATTAAATGCGTATGTATTATTTTTTTATTGCAGCTACTAATGAATTTAATTTAATAAGAGTAATAAAGTGGCGTACATACTTTTCATCAACAATAATGAAATTATTGATTTGTTTTTTAATTTTCATTTGTTGGTGATACAAATTGTTTTGAGAGTTTGTCAACGACAATTGTTACAATTGCTGTCAATAGAGGATGATAATAAATCATTCAAAATATATTATTACAATAGATATCGTTATAATGATATAGTAAAAATTAACTTACAAATTTATTTAGAAGTTTTCATGCATTGTTAAAATTTTGATGTGTAAACTTGTTCAATTGGAGCTAGTGGGATGCCAACATTGTTAATTCTTTGGAAAATGGTCCTACCATTTTAGAGTCCAAGTGTAATTGTTTATGATCAACATCTTTGTAGTTAGGTCGCGCAGGTCTGACAATGATGTAAGAACGTAACAATTTTATCCGTAAAAAAATATAATAGTATAATATTTGTAAAGTAATGTACAATTGTACCATATATTATAAAAATACATACAAAAAAAATTAATCCCATAATGACCTAAATCATTCCAATAATATAAAAGCATAATTGAAATATTAAGTTTTGTTCTAAATAATCAAAAGAAGATTAACTAAAAAAAATAAAAAATTAAAACTTAACCTAATTAAATTTGTTTTTTTTTTTTAAATGCAAGAATATCAACTAATTTTTAAAATTCCTAATTTATAATCTTTAATGCTCAACTTTGAATGTTATGTATTTAGTTGAACTAATTATTTGACCAAAGTTTATGTTAAATTTTATATTATATATATTTTTAATACATTTTAATATATTCGTAGTATATGTTTAACAATTATGCCATCTCTAATTGGGATTAGGTTTGAACCTAAGACTTTTCTTATAGAAATTAATGATTAATTTAAGAATAATAAATAGTTAACGGAATATTCCGTTACTAAAGTTCATACTAACGGAATTTAAGGTTATTTAAGGAAAGAAAATAATATAATAGAGGGTAAATAAGAAAAATCATTAAAAAAATACTAAAATCAAAATAATATGAACCATTAATTTTGAGAAACAATTACACTAACAGTTTTTTGTTCCAGTTAAGGGCCTAACATTATTGGATCTTATTAGATTTGTAGATTATTATTATTATTATTATTATTATTATTATTATTATTATTATTATTATTATTATTATTATTATTATTATTATATTATTATTATTATTATTTCTAGTATTTTCACCCGTGCGATGCACGGAATGAATTTGTTGTAATATATTAAAAATATTTAGATCGATATATAATTATTTAAATTGGAACATCAAATATTATATAGTACGTTTGGTTTGGATTATATATTGTTATAATTATATATTGTTGAAGATATGGTTTGGATCGTTTATGTATTTTGATGTTATCATTGCTTGAATTTGGCCAAATAATTGCTTAAATTAATAGCTAAAGTGTAGATGTACGAATGCGGTGCTGTAACTTTAGAGATTTTATTTATCATTGTCTAGTATTTTTATAAATTAGTCAAATGTGGTCGTTCTCTATCAACTCAGTTAAAGGAATGAATTGCTAATCGAATTCATTTGTATGGAAGCTATACATTTTATCTAGATATATAGCAATTTTTTCATTTAAAAAAAAACATAATATCACCGACTGTATTTACACATTATTGAAACCTCTTTGTAGATGACATTGGTAGTAACAACACAATCTTGTCCATCCTCGTCTAGAGCTAACAGGTTCAGTCTATCAGGATGGGTGACTCGTGTGAAAATATATAATGGTAGAATATCAGTCAATTAGTGATCCTTTTATATTTTCAGTCAATTAGTAATATCAAATTCATTTTCAGACAATTATTATTTTTTTTTTAGTCAATTAGTCAATTAGAATATCAAATGCAATGATATTTTTAACTAATTTCTGTTCCATTTTAATTGATGATGTAGAATATTATTATTGAAATATTTCTGTTCCATTTTTAATTTACCTTTACTATTGTTCAAGCTTGCAAAAAACGTATTTTTTGTTTTTATTTTTTTGATTTTTTTTTATATTTTTTTAATTTTTTAAAAAATTAAAAAAATTTAAAATTATGAAATTCACTAATAAAACACAAAGTTCCTCTCGTTTTTTCTTACAAATTATTTAAATAACTGGTTGTAAAATCGTTTTGAATATTGTCGAAAAAATACGTGATTTGAAAAAAAAAAATTGCCCAAAACGGACAACCGACTCAAAACTTATGCCTTCCCGAACTTTTAACACTTTAAAACTAAAAAAAAAAAAAAAAATTAAAAAACGGCCGAACCGGCTGGATAGGCGGCCGCGGAGGAGGCCGATTCCGACCTTCCTCACGGCGGCCGGCGGAAAGAGACAAAAGAACAGACCTTTCTGTAATACCCACTACTTTAGAAATAAAGATATATCTATGTTATTAAATGAGGTCAACAAGTCAAAACTTATTAAAAGATGATATTGGGTAAATTACTAACTTGCCCCTCTCTATCCTTAAAGCTTAAGGAATTCCTTTTATCTTGGAAGAACATTTCATTTGAAAGAAGAAAAAGAAAATATTGGCTAGAGAGAGATAGGGGAAGGAACACATTGAAGCTTTGATCTCCATCTTCTTCAAGCTTAGATCTCAAGCTATTGGAGTATTCTAGGTAAGTTTGACCTCCATATTTCACTCTTTGAGTTGGGTTTATCATTTGAGCCCTAAGATTAATGTTTGAAAATATTAGGGATTTTGACAAGGAGTATTTGGGCAATCTTAATAGCTAAGATTTGGATGTTTTTAGGTAAGTGGTTAACTCTTCTCTCCT